AGTGGTAGAGCAATAGCCTTGAGCACAAAAGTTCAGGAACAGCGCCCAGGCCCTGAGTTGAAGCTCCATGACCAACCAAAAAAAAAAAGTGGGAAGGAAGCCCTCATTTCTTGACACGTGGTATGGGACTATGAACTGCTCCAAGGCCCAGGCTGAGTGGAGTGGGGACCAAAGGCTTGAGAAGAGCCCCAGGGACCTCTGGAACTTAAGTCTCAGCAAAGACTGCACATTTGGGCTAAGTTCATCCCAAGGGGGTCACTGAGAAAGTGACAGCTGCTCTGGGAGGCCTGGGGGCTATTGAATGATCCACCCACCAAAACATTAAGTTCTGGGCTGGGAATGTGGCTTAGTGGTAGAGTGCATGCACAGGTTCGATTCCTCAGTACCACATAAACAGAAAAGGCTAGAAGTGGCTCTGTGGCTCAAGTGGTAGAGTGCTAGCCTTGAGCAAAAGAAGCCCAGGGATCGCACCCAGGCCCTGAGTTCAAGCCCTAGGATAAAGCACAGGACAAGGCTGGACGTGGCTCTGGAGGATGGATGAGCGCATTGCTAGGAGGGGGAAGTGAGAGACAGAGCCAGGGTTTGAGCCTGAGTCCATCTTCACTGAGCTCTCTCCTGATTGGAGAAGGGCTGTCATCCATACTCTCCCGGGCCTCTCCTGGTCCTCCCAAAGCTGGCATTCTACCAGCTGAGCCACACTTCTACTTCTGACCTTTTGCTGATTAATTGGAGATGCGTCTCATGAGCTTTTTCTGTCTGGGCTAGCTTCAAATTGTGATTCGCAGGTCTCAGCCTTCTGAGATACGAGGCTTACAAATGTGTCACCAGCTCCCAGTTTAGACAGGGATTCGTGAGGATGGTGGTTTCTTCCCTAGACCCAGCCATGCTTGAAGGCAAAACAATCATTAGTTGTGAGAGAACGCAGAAGCCCTCCTTTATTGCTTAAGCTTTATTGTTATTGTGCAAGCTCAAGTAACGTGAATAGGTATTTCATACGGAATGTTCTATAGCATGCAAATGCCCTGAGCATTTTCTTTTTTTATATATATTTTTTATTGTAAAGATACTGTACAAAGAGGTTACAGTTAATGAGCAAGGTAATGAGTACATTTCCTATCAAACATTGTTTCCCCCTCCTTTGTTTTTCCCCTACTATCCCTTCCCGTCCCAATTCTCCCCAACTCCCTTCCTGTTTTTCTTTCTTTTCTTTTCTTTCTTTTTCATTTTTTGTTGGTCATGGGGCTTGAACTCTGGGCCTGGGCGCTGTCCCTCAGCTCTTCAGCTCAAGGCCAGTGCTCTACCACTTGGGCTACAGCACCACTTCTGGTTTTCTAGTGGTTTATTGGAGATAGGAGTCTCATGGTCTTTCCTGCCCGGGCTGGCTTTGAACCTCGATCCTCAGATCTCAGCCTCCTGAGTAGCTAGGATTACAGGCGTGAGCCACTGGTACCCGGCTCTTTTTTTCTTTTCTTTCTGTTTCCTTCTTTTGTGCTAGTTCTTTGGGTTTGAGTTCAAGGCCAGGGTACTATCCTTTAGCTTTTTCATTCAACATTAGCATTCTATCACTTGAGCCAGAGTTCTACTTCCAGCTTTTTGGTGGGTAATTAGACTTAAGAGTCTCACAAGCTGGGCGCCAGTGACTCACGCCTGTAATCCTAGCTACTCAGGAGGCTGAGATCTGAGGATGGCATTTCAAAGCCAGCCTGGGCAGGAAAGTCCGTGAGACTCCTATCTCGAATAAACCACCAGAAAATTGGAAGTAGTGCTGTGGCTCAAGTGGCAGAGCGCTCACCTTGAGCTAAAGAGCTGAGGGACAGCGCCCAGGCCCAGAGTTCAAGCCCCATGATCGGCAAAAAAAAAAAAAGGTCTTTCAAACTTTTCTGCCCAAGCTGGCTTCAAACTGTGACCCTCAGATCTCAGACTTTTCAGTGACTAGGATTACCGGTGTGAATCCACCAGTGCCCTGCTTAATTTATGTTTTTGTCAGTTGTGGGGCTTGAACTCAGGGCTTGAACGCTATCCCTCAGCTCTTCAGCTCAAGGTGAGTGCTGTACCGCTTGAGCCACAGCTCCCCTTCCAGTTTTCTAGTGCTTTATTGGAGATAAGTGTCTCACAGAGTTTCCTGCCCAGGCTGGCTTTGAACTGTAATCCTCAGATCTCAGCCTCCTGAGTAGCTAGGATGACAGGTGTGAGCCACTGGTGCCTAGCTAATTTGTTATGTTTTAAGCCATACATGTATAACAGTTTGTTACCTCAACCATTGGAAATTGATATTTCCGGAGGGTAAAAAAGTCAACAACTTCTTGGAGAAAACAGTTGAGTCAATAGCCTCGACACAGAATGCCCAAGAAGAGGGGGACAATATGCTACCAGAAAGTCACAATGTGCTCAAAAGCTTGACAACAATGGGGGTGTATCAAAGAGATGCAGACGCCACCCATTGGAAGAGCTCCCGGTGCCCAGCGCTGGACCAGATCTCCCTCAACGCAGAACACACAGTTCATTTGACTTGGAGATAAGCTGTGAAAGATTTTCTT